GTTCTTATGTTTCCTTAAAATACACTAATTTTATTATTTAGAGTTAGGTGTGTCGATTTATTATAAGTTGAGATAATTTCATTTTGTAGGTAGTTAAAATAAATAAAACATTAAGTATATAATATTAATTTCTAGGCCCCCGACTAGGCCCCGCCCAGGCCCTGCCTAGGTGCTCTAGGCGCTAGGCGATGGTCGAGCACCTAGCGGGCGCCTAGCGACTTTTAGACACTGAAATACACATACCATGGAATAGAGAAAAAGAATATCAATACTAAGGAAGGAGAATATATATGAAATCTACTAATAAAGCTAGTATCTTTATTTTTCCTACAAGCTAAATGAAGAAAATTAATTCCAAATACATAATAAAAAAATAACCAACATTTGAAAAATTAAATTGAGAAAATCTTCTCATTCTCTTCAAGCATTAATTTCATGTTACCTATCTCAAGAAACACAAATATGGTAAATATTATTTTCGATTAATATCAAATTCAACTTTCTTACACGTCTGAATTCCAAAAATCCATGTGGAGCACAAGAACATGGAAATCTGAGTTGGGAACTATCAACAATCTAATCAGAAAACAAGGTGGATTATAAGTAAATGAAGATCTTCCAGTAGAATGTAAAAAAAGCATGGAACTATAAAATGGGCTAAGAGGATTACATCTCACTTTCCAGCCTCTTTCAACAGAGTTGCTAGACTATACCCGGAAACAAATTGTAGTAATTTTTTCAAGAATGCACCCTGAGCACCAAAAATTAGTTATTGAAACGAGTGCATCAGCAAGTCACGGAGGCTTCCCGTTATCCAAGTCCTCCTCCATCACATCAATTTCTGTGCGAGCTGTTATTTTCTGCACATATCCTGCAACAACAAATAATGTAGTGTTTATATGGGTATATGATTGGGCAAGTTGAAAAAAAATAAAGAAAAAAAACAGTGTCGCGAAATAGCAGAAAAAAATAAAATAAAAATGTGACATATCAAACTCATGCAGCAATGAGATGCCTGGTAAAAAATAGCTGAGATATTACTCGAGGAAAAAAATGACTCTCAAATTCTTCTAGAACATTGTTGCTCAATAACATAGTAACCTGGGGTTTTTCTACCAAACTTGAATATAAGCAACTCACTACTCAAAGGTTTATTGAATAAGAAATGGGAATATCGACCACGGAGTTTCTTAAAACAGGTCATACAATATAAAGGAGATAGCAAGCAAAACCAGCCCTAAGGTTCCTGTGGTGACCAAGAAACCCGATAAGTTTTTCAAAAGTTAATTGAAATGTTGGTCGACTTTTGTTTTTGTATTTCAATTAAGCCCATTCATAGAGTTAACAGAATTTGCTCATATCATCATGTATTTTGCCATTCAACTCTATATATTTCGAACCATCTAAGTAACTATACGTAATATATAATAAGCTGAGGAATGAAATTTACACAAAATAAGATGAAATGCTACGGTTATGTCAATACGACATTATTAAGAGAAAATGACTGATTTTTCGCTCAGCTAAATCTGACCAAGAACTTTAGTGGAGAATTAAGTTAAAGCTTAAAAATTCTATATATAAGACCAACCGCGGAACAGGAGCATGCGTTACAACACAACGCAAGTTGCTCAACTCAGCGTGGTTATTAAGACTAGTTCAGAGGCAAGTATCGTGAGTTGTCAATAGTAACTTGTCCACGTAGAATAACTTAATAAGCCTAAGATTAGTTGTGCTTTATGTGGGGGATTGTACCAGGTTGCCTGAATTTTACTACAGGGATTATCTTTAGAGATATTTTCAGTTGTTCCCAAGGAAAATATTGTAGAAATAAGGATATTCTCGCACAACATCCCACATTTAACGTCTAAAGAATATGTGGATAGTGGACCATGGAATAATCTCAGCCATAAATATTCTAATGCGTTGCATTTCAATTTGAAAACTTTCAATTTAATGAAAAGATGGGTATAACAGACCGTGCTGCCTACACACAACGCGAATTGGCTTCTGCCAATGGAGGGTTAAACCAGAAGCAAGCCTGAAGATCGATAAAACAGTTCAAACACAAGCCAATCTAATTAGTAAAGAACACCAGGAGCCAAGATTCTGAACAGATACGAAATCACTGGAGCTCGATTTACTGGTATATTTTCCCTAAATATCATGGCCGTACCATAATGACGTATGGACAATAAATGACCCCACCAAGATAAATCTGAATTTCACACTAATTATGCCAAAAATGGTTCAATCTCGGAGACAAGTATTGCAAGCTGATATCTAGAGCTTTTAGGCCAAAGAATGTCTTTGCAAGCTGAAACTTCATGTTCGTAGTAATGTCATGCTTTCACAATCTTCTTTCAGTCACGTTGGCTATATAATTCCAGTCCAAAACGGAGAACAATTAACATTCTTAGTACATGTGATGAAAGAGAGAAAACCTACCAATGCCAAGGCAAGGAATGCATTTACAAATGGTCTCTTTTCCTTTCTTGTTATAATAGCTGACCAATCCGGTCCCTTGACAACTACGACATTTTCCGGTCCATTCATAGACCATTGGCTTGCAATCCTACTAACAATAAGGAATAAGAAATTTGCATTAGCATATATGCCTTGCGAAGAACATAACAACTTATTATCTTGTGGTGATAAAAAGGCAGATACTACCCAAGATGATTATGATGATAAATATTACCATAAGATAAATATCATTGTCTCGTCCCTTGGAATATGAAATCTACGATCATCTACGTGTTCGGAACAATATCATCACAGCTCTTTTTTCTTAAAAAAGAGCAGAGTAACTCGGTAAAATTGAAAATGTTCTGTACTTTTATTTTTGAAACCAGTTTAACATCAAGAAATATTCAGAAAACTAAAACATTAGCTTATTTCAAGTGTTCAACAACTAATCTCAACAATAACAGAGAACTCAGGGTGGTCTAATCAGCCCAAACAAAATTTCAAGCATACTTTTTTATTCCCAGATAAAAGTCAACAATCAATTCATACCGTTATCTCAGGATCGCAATTGAGCCTCTTGTCGATTTCCTCAAGCGAAACCGGCGATGAATCGGGGTACGTCATCGGAAGAGGCAAAGGCTCGTCGTCGTCCGTGAGGTAGCTCTCGCGATTCCTCGACCATTTCTCCTTGGCGTTGATTTTCGAATGCTTATTGCTGTCAGTCGAAGAGACTGACCCGATATTATCCGCTGAGTTTCTGCCGCCGCCGGCGTCCAAAGAGGTTGGAAAGCTGAACCACGGGCGCGAGAACGCGTCGCCGGCGGCGGCGCGCACGCGGAAGGCTGAGATTGGAGCGCGGAGCGGGAGAGCAGGAGGTCTCGACAGGGGCAGGATTGAGTTAGGGTTTATCGGCAACATTCCATATAAATATCTGAATTGAGAGAGAGAGAGAGAGAGAGAGAGAGAGAGAGAGAGAGAGAGAGAGAGAGAGAGAGAGAGAGAGAGAGAGAGGTCTGTTTGAGGCCTAGGCTGGTGAACTAAGCTCGAAAGGTACAAATGGTGGGCTTAGAATGGAGGTGAGCGTATTTATATCGAAAAGTTTTGATTTTGCTTTGTGCTTGTTGTCGCCATATCCACCATTACTAGCTGCATCCTTGTCCTCGTCCTCGGGAATAGCGGTCGGTTTTGCTCGTACAGAAGGCTATGAAGAAAGTGTGAAGTGTGAACAATTTTTATTAATTATTTTTTTTTTTCTCGAAACGATAGCAATTGTATTGAAACTCAGAAGAAAGAGTTCAAAGTACGAAGACCAACAACTCAAAAAAGATAAACTGAGAGACACATACAAGATGGCCTAAAGCCTCAATAAACCGGACTAAGACTAAAGATAACAAAAGAAGAAATAAACTTAGCACCTGCCACTACTATAAAGCCTAGCAAGATCATAAGCCCCTAAAACCAAAAAAGAGCGAACTACAATAAAAACCAAAAACCAAGAACAGATAAACAAAGATCATCACTAAGGACATCCCACAACCTTGAAAAACTCCAACCAATCTGACTGAGCTGCAATGATCACTCTGTGGGGTGGCATGAGTGATTTTTGGAAGACCCACAGGTTTCTGGATTTCCAAAACCACCAAAGCAGATAAGTTGACAATTGAATCCTTGCTTCAGCAACCTCTGAAGAGTCAAGAGAGCAGATATGTTGTCACAATCCTCTAAATGTTTCTGAACTGCAAGTATGAGGGTCCCACTGGACAAGTGGTAGCTCCCACAGTCTGTTGGCTCTGGAGCATGAGAAAAGTAAGTGTTCCACAGTTTCAGGAGTATCTCCACAGATAGAACAAGTGGTATCAATGTCAATCCCTCTTCTCTTAAGCTGTGTTGCCACAAGTAAGGTGCCAGAAATGCACTTCCACAGAAAGTGTTTAATTCTGTTTGCTATTTTTAGTTTCCAGCATCTAAATAGTAAAGCTTTCTTTTGAGATCAAGGAAATAAATAGCTCGCTAAAGTTGCCGCTATTTGAGAAATAGCTTTTTTTGGCAGCATGACGCTATTTGTATTCATGTGTAATTTAGCCGCTAAATCCCGCTAAATCTCCGCTATAGCTCCGCTATAGCTACAGTGCCATAAACGTTTTAGCCCGCTATTTAAAACCTTGTTTGAGATGTATAAAAACTGCATTCAGGGATGTCTGACTGAGACAGCTTGTTATCAGCAAGATGAGCATAGGTGCTTGAAACAGAAAATAACCCTTTCTGATGAAGGCCCCAGTAGAACTTGTCTTATTTATCAGGCTTCAATGCGTTAATACTGAGAATAGAATTGCTTTCTTGATCAGAAAAAACCTGTTTAATAAGCCATGAGTTCCATTCCCTTTCATTAGGCAGGAGCAAGTCCTTCACCCAAATTAAATGGTCCCTAGCAAGATCCATGAGATGAGGAGTTTGTTGAGGGAGAGAAGATACCTAGTTAAAATCAGCAATCTTGGTGTTAACACCATTTCTAATCTCAATCTTAAGCCATTTTCTCAAACATATGCATCATGTCCATCCAAGAATTCCACATCCAAGACCCATTTTGACATTTGACAGCATGAACAATGGAATGATTAGAAAAGTACTTGTTCTTGAGAATCCTACTAACTAGAAGATTAGGGTTGGTTACTATCCTCCACAGCTATTTACAAATGAGTGCTTGATTGAACAATTTGAAATCAAGAAACCCCAGACCTCCTTTAGACTTTGGGAGAGCAAGGAGGTTCAATTGCTTCCAGTGAATACTAGAGGAGTGCTGGTTACCAGATCTCCACCAAAACTTAGCACACAATTTAGAGATTTCATAGCAGAGGGAGAGAGGAATTTTAAAGCATGACATTGTGAAGATGGGAAGGGCTTGCACCACAGCTTTAAGTAAAACTTCCTTACCTGCAGGGCTGAGTAAACTTGCTTTCCAGCTATTCAATTTGGACTTAACAGAAGTCAGGAGGTAGTCAAATACCTCTTTTTATGACTTACCAATACCAAGAGGGAGGCCCAAGTACCTTGTTGATCTGTGGGAGACAATTCCATTCAAAGTGTTGCAAATGCCAAGTTTGAGCTGTGGAGGAGTATTCTTACTAAAGAAGGCTTCTGATTTGTGTAAGTTGACTTGTTGCCCTAAGAACAGCCTGTACTGCTCCAACAAATTCAAGAGAACAACTGTCTGATCCACTCCAGCCTTGCAAAATAACAGGTAGTCATCTGCAAATAATAAATGTGATAGTGCAGGGCCATTCCTGGATAGTTTTAGACCTTGCAAAAGACCCTTATTACATGCATCAGAGATTAGAGTTGATAATAGTTCTGCCACAATAATAAATAGGTAGGGGGCATAGGGTCCCCCTACCTTATTCCCCTTGTTGGATTGACCAAACCACTAACCACTCCATTCACTTTAGAAGAAAAGGAGGCAGATGACACACAGACCACGATCAATTTCACAAAATCCTGATGAAAGCCCATTTGCAGCATTATTTTTTAAGGCATATCCATTCTACTCAGTCAAAGGCTTTGACTAAATATAATGGCCATAAAACAGTTTCTACCAGATGAATGCCTGTTCAGATAATGGAAAGCTTCTTGTGTTATTATAACATTATCTAAGAGTTGTCTCTCCTAAACAAATGCTGATTGGTTATCACTAATACATTGAGATAAGCAAAGCTTCAATCTTTGAGCAAGGATTTTAGACAAGACTTTGTACACCACACTGCATAAGCTGATAGGTCCAAACTGAGTCAAAATTTCAGGGTCTTGGCATTTAGGAATGAATGATAAGATAGTATGGTTCCAGTATTTTAGTAACATGCCAGTTTGAAAAAAGCTTAGAATAGCAGCCAACAGATCATCCTTGATAAGATTCTAGAAATGCTGATAGAAAAGAGCACACATACCTTCTTCACCTGGAGCTTTGTCAGGATGAAGACTAAAAAGAGATGCTTTGATTTCATCTTCTTCCACAAGTTTAAGGAGATCAGCATTAAGATCAGAAGTGATTGAGGTTGGAATGAGAGGGAGCAGAACATCCCCACCTCAGCTTCCTTCTGAAGAAAAGAGGTTTTTGTAGAAATCAACAATGTGCACTTCAATTTCACTCTGGTTGGTGATTGGATGACCCCTGGATGATAGAAGCCTTGTGATTACATTGTTTCTTCTTCTTTGCAAAGTGAGAGCATGGAAAAACCGAGTGTTGGAATCTCCTTCCTTCAACCATTTCAGTCTGGCCTTTTGTTGCCAGAACAATTCTTCTTATTTGCGGGCCTTCTCTAAATCCCTTCTAGTTTGATCCCAACTTTCCCATTGCTTGCCAGTTTTGTCTTGATTAAGAATTTGCAGCTTGTTGGTTAAGTTTGAGATGATGGATTGGTTCTGAGTTTGAAACTTTGAACTCCAAATTAAGAGAGCCGTTCTGACTTTTTTAATATTCTCTTTGAGTTGAAAGAAGGGAGTCCCTGAGCATTTGGTTTTCCAAGATGTTTCAATAGTTTCTTCAAATTCCTCCTTGCCTATCCATCTTTTATCAAAGTGGAATCTCGATTTTTACCTTTCTCTGGGAAGGCCATAATCCAAAATGAGTGGAGTGTGATCTGATGCACTTCTGACCAGGTTAGAAACAGATGCATTGTTGGGATCAATGAAGATCTTGTTATGCACACGAATTCAATAGCAAAACGTAAACCTATGCGCAACGGATCTAAAGGTTTGCGTAGAGAACTTACGGTTTAAAATTTATGGTGATCTGGATGATCTTCTGGATGGCCATACACAACACACTAATGAATTGTTGACTGAAAATCGCGTCCTAGGGTTTCACGAACAAGATCGGATCGAAAATCGGATCAAACGAGTGCAAAATGAATGAAGACAAAGTGCAGTCCTGGGACCTTGCGGCGGCGCGTGCGGGCGCGTAGGTGGTTGGACGGCTACGATCTCGGCAGCGTTGGAAAGCTCTCGTCGAGACGGTCGTCTGAGTATGCTTCACGTCTTGATCGGACCTCCGGTTAGTTCTGTACGACCAAATATATTTCGTATCACTTTACCCAAAGATCTTCTATTGTATATCTCAAACACCTCTTAATCTTGTACCAGTGGAACAACAAAAAAAAATAAAGCTCGAATGGGAACAGAGAGAGGGAAGAGAGGCGTGGGGCGTGATTTCCAAGATCTTGAATTCTCTTCTCTTCCCATGAGCTTAATGAAGTATATATAGAGCTACAGTAGGGATCCTTAGGAGATTAGGATTAGAGCTCCTTAATTAATTAAAATACTTGTGGACCAAGCCACTTATTTTAATTAATTAAATAATATTAAATGGGCCACCAACATAATATTATTGCACTCATTTTTCCTAGCCCAATTTACAATTGAGACTCCAATAATAATTACTCGATTTATCTCCCTAATTTTAAGATATAATGTCCATTAATTAATTTGATTACTGACAATCAAGAATTAATCAATTTATTATTATTTCACCGAAGCTAGCGCTCGTTCATCACATTATTACTATGCTGGAATTAAATCTACCTGCAGGGTTTAGCATAATAATCCTTCATGAACTCACTCCGGGGACATCATCAAACTAACGCACATGGTGACCGTAAATATCCTAACAGCACATCCTACATGTAGCAAT